AGTACCACCATCTTGTGGCTATGGGTGCTGCCATCTTTGTGACAGAATGACAGTTAACTTGCATATTACCCTTTTATTAGATAGGATTGTTTTAAAGTATACTAAGATTGTGGTAATTAGCAATAGAAGATGATAGATGATAGATAGATAGATAGATAGATAGATAGATAGATAGATGATAGATAAAGAGATGGGTAGATGTATGTTTGATTTATAATCTAAGTGTTTTCAATTTAGAAAATATATTGTCCTCTCTAATTTTAAGATAAAAAGCCAAAACTGGTTTGGCTCAGTGGATAGAGCATCAGTCTGTGGACTGAAAGATCCCAGGTTCGATTCCAGTCAAGGGCATGTACATTGGTTGCGGGCACATCCCTGGTGGGGGATGTGCAGGAGGCAGCTGGTCAATGTTTCTCTCATCATTGATGTTTCTAGCTCTCTATCACTCTCCCTTCCTCTCTGTAAAAAAATCAGTAAAATATATATATATTAAAAAGATAAAAATAGTTAACAATTATAAGTTTTAGGCAAGCTTTGGAAAAATATTTTTGATAAAGCAAACAATGTCTCATCAGATAAGAAGGTAATCAAGTTGTTTTTTAATTGCTGAGTTTTGAAACTTTTTTCCCCCCTTTAACTCAAATCACAGTAGGACCAATTACCTCTTCTCTATACCTTTGTCTGAGGAACTCTAGATTTACTCACTCAGGGGACACTACCGATTACAAAATTCCCAGTGAAACCCTGGCTGGCATGGCTCATTGTTTGGGCACCTTCCTGTGCATCTAAGTGTTGATGATTTGATCCCAGGTCAGGGCACATGACTGAGTTTTGAGCTTGATCCCTAGTAAGTAGTATGCAGGAAGCAGCCAATCTACATTTTGCTTTCACATCAATGTTGCTCTCTCTCTCCCCCTCTCCCTTCCTCTCTCTCTAAATCAGTAAAAACTTTGTAAAAATTTCCAGTGAACACAATAGATGACAATAGGAAACCTTTGAACAATTTTATTTCAATTTACATATTAGCTCAACCCAGGATACTTATAAAAATTATAAATGTGGCTCACAAAAAGAATTTAATACAATAGTGTGCCCTCAAAATCAAATTCATGTTTAGTTCTCATATATATTATGGTTAGTGCTATTGTTGTTGTTGTTTTTCCCCTGCAGGTTAAGATTAGCTCAATTTCTTAAGATTGAAGTTTGATAGAATGTTTTTTTTTCCTGGAGACTTTTAAATTTCATTAACTTTATATTTTCATAAAAAATTACAACCTATCTCTCACGCCCAAATATTTCAAATTCTCAGTTTTTCTCAGCATATATCTTGTATTTTTAGGACTGTCAGAAATAATTTTTAATGTATTTTTAACGATATAAAAAGTTAATGTGTTTTTTTTCCAGCTGTGTCAAGTGTGTTACCTGATTACAAAATAAAAGTATAATTTTAAATACATTATTAAGAATTAGAATGTACAGATAATTTAAAAGAAATCAATACTCCAACCTGAAGATAACCTCAGATAACATAATGCATTCCTTTCTAGTTTTTGCTCATTTGTCATTATTTTGATAAGACATTTTCAATTACTTTGACTATCTTTCCTGGTGTTTGTGAAATATTGATTTATTCATTTAGTCAACAAATGCACATTTCTGGCCTATCACATGCCAGGCACTTTCATGCATGGAAAATAGAAGGTAAGCAAACAATCCTCATATTAATGAGAGAGACAACTATTGATCAGGTAATCATAATGATTTTCTTTGAGGAAAAGGTATAAAAGACATGATAAGGACAATTTTTCCACTGAAAAGAGCACTAAATAAGAATAAGCAGGTATGAGTTTTATTCTTGACCCTGAAACTACATAACTATATGCAAAGCTCTTCCATTTATATGCTACTGTATAAAATAATTCTACTAATCCAATACCATTTTCATTAATCCAATACCAGAAAAAAACCACAGAACTAGTTCTCTAACAAGTTAATATTACTAGCAAATGTTCAACCAACTCATATTTTTAATATTCAATTGCTCACATTTCTTCTTAAAAGTAAGAATAGTACCACAGAATTTAAAAATCAATGACAGGGATGATGGCATTGAGTTATAACATGTGTACATTAAAAGTAGTTTATCTGAATAGTCAAAGCAAGACATTCTGCCCCAGATAGTTGTTAAGTAGTTTGAGATAAATACATTTTCTGGAATTCAGTTTCTTTATAACCCTAACTTACAATATTGGTGTGAGATCATGAACAATTTATCTAAACACTGAGTAGCCTTCCTAACCCTTAAGTAGACCTCAAATATTACTCATAAATATCCCCAGGTTTCAAAACAATCCTTAGTGAAAACTTTACCAAGTGACTCATACACAGTCCAGGTGGCTTTTCAAAAAGGAAATACAATCTGAAATTTTACACATGACTAAACAGGAGAAAATACTTTAGATAAACATTTAAAAGAAATAACAGGTATAAAAATGACCCTATTCATGATTCTCAATAAGACAAGATTAAGACTTAATCCTGAATGAGTGGTAATAAGCTGTTCCTGATCTGAAGTTTTTGTTTGCTTTCAACTTAGTAAAATTCTTTCATAAGTCTAGTTTTATTTGTTAAAAACAAGAACTATCAATTGAAAATCCCTTACCATTTTCTCAAAATTAATGGTTTCATTGAATTTTTCTTGTAGTACATGATCATGTTAGTGAGTTCACTTCTTAAGGAAATATGATTTACCTTGATAATTATTTTTTTAGAATCATCATATCTGAAAAAATAAAAATCATGCAAGATGCAATACCTAATAACTCTACAACTAATACAAACATGTCATTTATACATATATATATTATGACTGCTATATAATTATGGCTCAGCAAGAATTTTCAGATCACAGGCAGAAAACTCCATTGAAGACAAAGGAAACCATTTAAATCTAAATAGCAAGACTATTACTGTTGAATATTATTGCTTCAATTATACCGCACCCAACTTAACAAATTTCTCAGACTTAATTTTAAAACGTGAATGAAGAATTTTAAGGTGATATATCATAATACTATCTTAATGCGAATTACCATTTAGTTATGAATCTTTTCATATATCTAGGCTATTCTAATTAATTCTGTTCCAGACATTTACAAAGGAGGTTAAAATTTTAAGTCCCATTATATCTCAAAAGTCTGTTAGTCTCCAGGGGCCCGTAAGGCTCCTCCTTTCTCTTTCTCCACTAAGGAGCACTGTTCTGGTTTAACACATTTTATTGACCAGGATTCTCCTGGGTGAAGCTACTGTGTTGAGATGAATTCTGGAGTGTGCAAGGGTGTTTTATCACTTGGGTCTCTTTTTCCATGTGACTAGATTGGTAAAAACTCTGAAGCAGACTTTAATTTAATTTTTTTCGGCTTTAGAATCTCTTCTATCTTCTCTCATTTAGAAGTTCGCCCAATGTTATTGCCCAGGTCTAAGTCACTGGGTGAGTAGCTATACATATTGGCTAAAATTCTAGCTTAAGGCAGTATACATTAATCAAACTTAAAGTTTAAAATGGTGCCTTTCTATCTTTGTTTTGTCTGATGCTCAAATATAAGAGGAGCTAACTACTCCCCATGCACATGAAGAGGTAGTCAAAAACAAGTGTTGAGACCATTAGATTAATGGCAATAAGCGATATCTTAAAATTGGGCAGGGAGACGTTGGAGAATAGAAAATCAGTTCAGAAAGAGCTTTCCTACAAATCTGACCTCTTCACACAAGCCCAGAAAAGGTTGATTCAATGAACCATTTAGATTTAATGGTGCTTAGACTAATCAAAACCAAGAAATCTAAGGGGAATAGTTGGCCAGCTCTCTCAAATGCTATGTGTGGTCAAGTTACCTCTGAGCATGGCCTGTTATTTCTGGAAATGTAGAGTCAAAAGATACATTTATATTTTTGTTATGAGGCCACAACATAGGGTGTAAATTATTTTTTTATTGATTACTTTTGCTTTTTCAATGGTTTATAAAATAAAAGTGAAGCCGAAACTGGTTTGGCTCAGTGGATAGAGCGTCGGCCTGCGGACTGAAAGGTCCCGGGTTTGATTCAGGTCAAGGGCATGTACCTTGGTTGCAGGCACATTCCCAGTTAGGGGGTGTGCAAGAGGCAGCTGATTGATGATTCTCTCTCATAGATGTTTCTAATTCTCTATCCCTCTCTCTTCCTCTCTGTGAAAAATCAATAAAATATATTAAAAAAATAAAAATAAAAAAATAAAAGTGAAACATACAATTTAACAGGAAATTGTAATGGGAGTCCTGACATGGTTTTATTTTTTATTTTTTTCTGTAATAAGAGTGCCCAACTTAATTAAGCTTTGATTGCTGAGGCATCTACTTCAAAGATGTATGTCTGCAATAAACACATTGCCAGCCACATGACCAAAAAAAAAAAAAAAAAAAAAAAAGCCCCTCTTCCCCCTCCCCCCATCCCAACAACAACCTAGGCACCTTTGTTTTCAAGTCCTGGTTGATTTCAATCGCTGACCATTTGGGCTACTTGCTCCTTTACCCTTCCCCTAGGCCCTACCTTCCACCCCAATACAAGCACAACCCCAGGACCCTCTGCTCACTCTCTCCACAACCTCTCCTTGTGTAGCCCCAGGTGTGCGGGTCTCATGAGTAATAAACCTGCACTTTTTCAAAGGTTCCTGATGGTTATTGCTAAAGGGTTCTTACTTGCAATCCTAGTAAGAACCACCCTGCTGGTGCAGCCACACCATTAGTCATTGATAGGCTATGAGCAATACAAAACACCAGTACACATCCAACACGTTAGACTTGATATACTTCAGAAAAGGCAACCACAACAATTACACGAGAAAAAAAAGAAAAGAGAAAAGCAGCCAGTTGTTCATTTACTTGCTCCCCAGAACGATCATTTAAAGCTCGCATGCACCATCGGAAATGAGAGCAATGCCAAGCGGAGGAAGTTTGGAAAAGACTCACCGGAGTTGGGGTCAGAGTTGCCGTCCGCTTCGGTCCTCTTGTCCGGAGAGGCCTGGTCGTAGAACTCGTCCTGTGGCTGAACCAGAGGAAGAGGGTGTGAGATCAGGGTTCCACTACCCACCGGCTCGTGGTCGCCTAGACCACTGTCACTGCAGCTTTCCTGGGAGCCGTCGGGCAGGTGAAAGGTAACGCGCCGCTGCGACTACAAAGAAGACCACAGGACATGCGATTAACACTCCTCCCCAAAAACATGCATAGCGGAACACACACACACACATACACACACACACACAAATACAGCTTTCATTTAACAATGCAGTGTAACAGCAAAAGAAACTCACATAAGTAAATAAAGCTAGGCAAAGACATTTACTAATTGCCATTTACTAGGTGATGTCCAGTTTAAATATGAGGACGTTTTAATCACATGTAAATTAAGAGCAAAAACTAAGGGAACACTGTTGAAAATGTAGCAAGAATGGCAAAAAAGAATGCCTATGCTAGTTAGCAAAGTTATAGGACATTTTTAAAGAAGGAGGAATGTGCAAACTTATAATGTGGCATTTCATTTCTTTGGAATGAATGCAAGTTTTGTTCACTTCATTATTTTTAGGTAGCTTTTTGCAATGAAATCATGATCGCCCATTGGTCTAGAGACATTACTACCAGTCATTTCAGTCGTCTATTCTAGAATGCCCCAGTAGAAAGAAGTTAGTAATATTATTTTGGCATCTATTTGCACAATGTGACTATCAGAAGTGACCTAAAATATGTATATGGGTACTACAACATGTTAGTGGTGTTTTGATTAAATAAAATTGTGCATTTCAGCACATATTGCTGCTCATTTCTATTGGTAAATATTATTTAGATGTTTGGCCAGTGTGGCTCAGTCGTTGAGTATCAACCCATGAACTAGGAGGTCATGTTTGGATTCCTAGTCAGGGCATATCCCCAGCCTGTGGGCTCAATCCCCATTATGGTGCATTCAGGAGGCAGCTCATCAATGATTCTCTCTCATCATTGATGTTTCTATCCCTCTTTTCCTCTCCCTTCCTCTCTCTGAAATAAAAAAAAATATTCTTTTAGCTGATATAATTCATGAGATATGAGAATATTTAAAGTTTAGTGGAATAAAGATGTATGACTTAAATATAATTACATAAATGATAGTAAATGCATTCTATCTGTTTGATTGCACCTAATTTTAATTCTGCTTTAATAGCCCAAAGATATTTCAATATCATGTCACATGTGACCACTTTTAGTCAGACATAATAAAATTATGAATATATAAAATATATTAAATATACTAATGCATAATGCAATCATTTTACAATTCCTAAAATTTGTTTTTCAAGAGACAATGTATAGATTGTATCAATTTTTTAAAATGCAGTTAGAAACAAAATGTTATAAACAGATAGATTGCTACTCTGTAAATTCATCTTTATAGACTGACAATTGAACACTGCCATTTTCCTGAGAGCCACTGGTTCAAATCTAGTCCAGTCAAAATGGAACAGAGCTGATACCACTTTACTGCTGTTCAATGACCTGTGTAAAATGATTTGATAGTTCATTACATTTTTAATAAACTGATGCCACATCACATAAACTATAATAATAAAAGGTAGTAACTGAGACTATTGTAGCACATTTCACCTTCATGCACAACTCTCAGTGCTATCATTCCCCTTTCAAAAGGTTTTGAAATGTACCTAGGTAAGACTTATACAAGCCCAACTTGAATATTGATATCTGAAATATATTTCTCTTTCATAAGAAAGGCTTCACTACCATTTATCTATTATAGTATTTGGCCTCTCATGTGAAATTAACCCTCTAAAGAACATCAACAATACAAGTGTTCTTTGTTTCTGTTTCAATACATTCTTAATTCATCAGCATCTTTTTGTCATAAGCGCAACATTAAGAACAATGACCAGGATGCTTTTTATACATGACTAGCAAACATAGCTTTTAAAGTGATTGACCAAATATAAAGTCCACAATTTTGGTGATTAAAATATCTTTGGTGTTAACTCTGGAGGAATACCTCTTAGTTTTCAATCAGGTGAGTGGAAAAGAAGTCAAACAAAAGAAAAAGGCAGTGGGACTGATTCTGCAATCTCGATAAAGCATTTCCAGAAACCTCCCAAGATATGAAAAGTATGTTTCATGACAGCAGGAAAAGGGAAATCGGTATCTGTGATATTCTTCTAAACATGACTAGTAGGATAAAATACAGTATTTTCCCCCCTAAAATAATGCCCACATCTACAACACCAGTTAGCCTGAATCTGACAGTTCTTACATCATTTAAACTCTTACTTGAGCATCTACAAAATGCTTAGTCCTGTGATTATACTAAGAATAGAAAGTCAAATCTTTTAAAGATAACTTTTTAAAGTATAACAACAGATTTCATCTCACATATACTCCACTATATTTATTTACCACTTTATTAGTGTGAGTTAATTATAATTTCTGTATAATTTATTTAATTGAGATACTATAAATTAGATTGGTATAATGCTTATACCACTGTAGCTTATGAAAATACTTCCTAATTAATTTGACTTCCTTAATGAATTTAAAGATGCTTAAATCTTAATTGAAAAACTTATGCACAATGTATCAGTCTATTGGGAGGTGCGGCTGATGGTACATATGGACTAAGAACTGAAGCACACCTATCCTGGTACTAAGAAAATTCAGCAAGCAGATCAATCTTTAGTTTTTATCATCATAATAAAAACTGCACGTAGACAAATGGCCAACATATCAAGGTAGACGTAAGGAGACGATTTGAATAAGTCAAAATGCAGAAGAATGAGGATCCATGAAGCATTAAGAAACAGAAATTGCAGGTGTCACCAAGAACTCAACAGTACTTATTCAGGTTTTGCCAAATAAGACCAGGTGAAGAGCCAGAACCCAACCTCCTGAGTGGAAGCACTTGCTCTGCAGAGACTGGCTTGGAGCAAGGTACTTGATATCTTTGAACAAGTTCCCAGCTTTGTGAAATGGCCAAATGGTACCTTTGCAGAGGAGTACTGTAAGGCTCAAATGAAATAGGAAGTGTTTCTCATATATAATACTTGACACAGTAGATATTCAATGAAAGGCAGCTATAATCATTGAAATGTAAAGCGACATATTATCTTTTAGCCTGTTTCGATCAATATTTAGCTAGTTTTAAAGATGCAATTCCTTCATCCCAGAAGAGGAAGAGATTTGTTCTTTCAGAAAGGAAGTGGCTGAAACCCAGAATGATGGTGTGCCCCGCCCTATGCCCCCAGCTCATGTCAGCTCAGGGCCTCTGAGGGGCAGCTGCTCTGAGGAAGGAGGGATGAGAAAGACCAACAGTCTAGAATACATGGTTTTTCCTCCAAGAAAGTGAAGGTTTCCTCATTTATTCTTTCAAGAAACCTACATTTGTTTGTATATTTGAAGAGACAAAGAGGAAGACAGTTTTTACTTACTGCCTCTGGGAATTTTGCTTTTGGGTAATCCCTATGGGAATTGGCACAGTTTGGGTTATAAATATAGGCAAATCCTGCCTGACTGAATTGGGACAACACAAGTTATGAGATTGTTTCAGACTTTCCACTTAGCTTTTGTTTTTCTAAATCTATTTCTTATTCATCCCACTTTCTCCTATAGGAAACTGTTATTATTTTTAATAAATTATTATTACTGGCTATGTCTGGTTAATCGTTTGAGTGTTACCTTTGTTTATCTGATTTATCTCTGACAGGTGAGCTCCAGGTCCCTGGCTGCTCCAAGAAAGAATAAGATGGGAATAAGTAACTACTAAGATTGTTTCATATTATGTTTTTCAGAGAGCTGCCAATATGAACTCAGACCATGCAAACCTTTCATGAGAGACTCCTTACTCTGCACAAACATAAGAAACCAAGGATACAAATAAACGTAAGCTCTGGATCCTGCAAGTCAAAAGGTCCCACACTGGTTTGATTTAAGAAACATCACCAAACACCTTCCCAATATTTTTCTTGTAGGTTAGTAGAAAGGAAAGAGAGGGGAAATTGAAGAGGCCTCAGAAGGATATATATGTTCCTGCATTGGGCACTATTCTTCAAGGAGAACTGAAAGAATGAGTCCCCTAAGACACTCAAATCACTCCTTGAATACTTCTCGTGTGTTTCTTATTGTACAGAGTATTATTCCCCAATGAATGACTCACAATTAAGCTCACAATTCCAATCCCATTAATCTATAGGAATTCTCATGTGTTGAGATTTGGAGGTAAAATTCATTCTGTATTTGAATAAAATAGCAAAATGTAGGAAGAAGTGTTTAATAGGTGATTAATTAATAAATGGTGTAATTCTAGAGGCCCTGTACATGGAAGGAATTGTGTCCTGGTGGGGTCCCTCGGCCTGGCCTGAGGGGATGGGGCTGAAACCGGCTCTCTAACATCTCATCTCCTGATGGGTCCCAGATTGCAAGAGGGTGGTTCTACAGTGATGCACCCTGGAATCAAGCTCTCTCCTCTCTGGTTCTAGTTGTGTTACCCAAGAACCATAGCTGCCAAGTGACCTCAGCTCAGCAAATCCTGCATTGAGTATCTGCCCCCTGGTGGTCATTGTACACCATGGCTACCAGTCAGCAGTTGAATGACCTGATATATATAGACTAGAGGCCCAGTGTATGAAATTCGTGCATTGGGGCTGGGGGGGGGGAGGGGAGAGAGGTGTCCCTCAGCCCAGCCTGCACCCTCTCCAATATGGGACTCAGTAGGATAGGGCCTAAATGGGCAATAAGACATCCCTCTCACAATCCAGGACTGCTGGCTCCCTGATTGCCCCAAACCACTTCTGCCTGCCAGCCTGATAACCCCCTAACCATTCCCTTGTCGGGAGGATCGATGCCTAACTGCTCCCTGCTTGCCCAATTGCCCCTAACTGCCCTCCCCTGCGAGCCTGGTCACTCCCAACTGCCCACCCCTGCTGGCTATCTTGTAGTGGCCATCTTGTTTCCACATGGGAGCTGCCATCTTGTGTGTTAGAGTGATGGTCAATTTGCATATTACCTCTTTATCATATAGGCTAACATTAAATAAATAACAAGTAAAAATTACATTAATTGATATGAAAAGTACTTATAATCTATTGTTAAGTATAAGAATTAGATTTTGCTTAGTGTATTGCATTCTTGTTAATGTACTTCAGA